CAGTACGAATTTGGCATTAGCCTTGGCCCTCGGCATCGGAATTTTGAAGTGAAGGGGGAGATACTACGTAATGGTTTTATTGAAGGGGGCGATACTATGTTGAAGGAGGCGACGACTCGTTAGATGTTGAGAAACACTGCTCTATAGTATTTGAAATAGACTAATGGAACTTAAGATATGTTTATTTTTTTTAATAAAATATATAATAGATAGGGTGTGAAAAATGGACTGTTTTCAATACACTATCCTTTTTCTTTCTCAAAATTTAAGTTTGTTTTGTAAAATATATATTTTAATTAATTAATTAAATGATTATATTATTTTTGTGACCTTTATTGTAAAATGATTTTTTAGTGTTTTTGTAATTTAAACTTAGAATATTAATTAATCTTATTCTATTCATTACATAAACTAGCTATGTAAAAGAAAAAGTTCTTAAATTTATTGTACTACTTTGTCTTAATTTATTATTTTATGATTGCATTTTAGATTATAAAGAATTACACAATACATCACATTGCATAATCTCACTATTAAATTTGATATATAGTTGTATGTCCTTTGATATATGGATCATTTATTTTGAAAGTGGTATAAGTCCACTTTTGTAAAAAAATGAGATATCACATAATTTGTGATTAATTTAGTGTAAATTTTTTATTTATAATGTGAGATAGCAGAAATTCCTATATCAGACCTCGGCTTTAATATTATATTAACATTTCACGAATTACGAAACAATTGTTGTTCTTAGCTACCTGAGAAAGTCTCCCGTTACATTTTCTCGAAAGCAACATGACACTTTCTCGTGAACTATTAACCTCTGCACGATCAAAATCATCCGTGAATATCATCAGAGATGTCCGAAAAGAGTTAGTCGCCGTTTTAGTCCTCGGAGAGGAAAGAAGTTGTTGTCCATCTAATCATCGTCCATTTAATCGTCACCCAATTAATCGCCCATAGGATAACCTTTTTTTGTGTATGTGTGTGTGTTAGTGCACAATCGCCTGGATAACTAAAATTACCCATCAGAACTGGATACCTCCTGAAAAAAACCCATAAGAAGATCTTGTTCTCCAATTCAACAAGACCCGACCGGGATATCTACACTGCTGGCCATTAAAATTGCAACACCAAGAAGGAAAGCAAATAAAAAAAAGATATTTATTGTACATAAACAGTATGGCATGAAGACAAAATGATTAAATTTGCAAGCCGTTTGGGGGTTTACAGGGGTGCAAAATTAGTAGACACAGTTGCCACCCCTGGCAGCTAAAACGGCCCTTATCCGGTTAGGCATAGAGTCAAACTGGGCTTGGATGACAGAAATGGGCAACTTGTTCCATGCTGCTTCAAGTCTATGCTANAATGTTAAAATAATGTCACCAAATATTACTTCATTTTTGGTGAGAAAAATACTGTTTTAACGTGGGAATAGGCAGTTCATTCCCCTTTCATCCGTTCTCACGAAAGAGTTACGGGCCGATGATTGGTCGGTATTCCGAAGATATACAGGGAACTTGTCAGAATTCTGGGAGTTCTTCAACGATCCGAAAGCGTCCAAACTCCACATACGTTTCCCTCCTGATGACCGACGTCCTTAGACGAGTCACATACAGAATAAGTCTAGAGTCTGCACGCAGAAATTATACTTGGTTTTTGTGCACATAGTGATCTCCCATACGAAGAAGTAAATGAACTTGCATACAGAGAAGAAGACGAACGACAACTAAACAGGTCGTATGTTTTATAACGTTTCGTGAGCTCTCTCTCTCGATCGCGACTAGGGTAGAATATAAGTATAGCTATCTACCGATTTGTATATTATTTGTAGTAGTTTTGTCTCTCGTTTATCCACATTTTGTATGAGTTTATTTTCTTGTTTTATTAAATTTATTATTTCGTTTTAATTTAAAATGTCTCTTGTTTGCGTGACCGAATCAGATCGCATACGTGTGTTAATCTGCGTGTAAAACAATTGATTAACTGGTGTCAGTCCTGACGTAGATCCGAATCTTGCGATTGGGATCATTATTAAAAGCCCTCCCGGTCAAACGAATCTTGACATAAGATGGGATCTCTCGATCCGAAACTCGGAGAACTATTCTCGCGGAATAGTGCCGATTAAGTATTACACGAGTATTCCTATTCCGTAACCCCGGCTAATCTCACATATATATATTTTAAAAATAATTATTGAAAACATTTATGAAGTTTTGCAATCCTTTCCATAAACTAAAATTAGTTATCTTAAGCACTAAGTATTTAAATGCATTTAATTACTGTATGAGAATCATGTTAAGATTCACAAATATTTTAATATATATATATATCTATCATATATTTAATACTTGCTGATATTTTTGAAATTTGTTAAGAAACTATATATTACTCTCTGTTATGTTTAAGTTAAATGATTAAAGATGAATCATAATAAATATAAGAATATATTATTTATATTTATAACCGAAATTGTAGATACAAACATTTTGTCTAAAAAATTTTTTAAATTTCATACAAAACAAAAATGCATATCAGATGATTAAGGTTTAATAGATTGTTAAATTCTGCAATTGAAAACATAAGATAAACTGTGTAATTACTAAATTTTCCAAATTTTGGTTATAATTAATATCATGACATTAATATATTTATTGTTGATCCACTTTATATTGGAAAGCTCTAAAGCAGTGTTTCTCAACGGGGGCGATATTGCTCCATGTGGGCGTTTTTCCATGTTGAGGGGGCGATTAGTAACAATTTATATTTTGGGGGACGAAAAACAATTTTCTGGGCGATATAGTAAAACATTATATTAAGAATAATTAGATATTTTATTCGTTATATCGTACAATAATTAAACAATTAACATTATACTAATCACTATATATGATACTAGTCTATCAATGCAGTACGAATTTGGCGTTAGCCTTGGCCCTCGGCATCGGAATTTTGAAGTGAAGGGGGCGACGATTCGTTACAGGTTGAGAAACACTTCACTAGCACATTTAAGATGTCCAGCCACATCCATTATATGAGACTCTGGCCCACAATGAGGTCGGCCACCTCATTATGAAACGGATAAAGGAAAAGGGAAAGGAAAAGAGATAAAGGAAGGAATGATGCTCCGGATAGCATTCCTTATCCTTTATCCACGGAGTCTCCTTGGGAATACAGATTGAAATACCTTATAAAGAGGCTATCCGCCAGCCCAATTTAAAAATAAATGTATTAAATAAGAATTATATTATTCAGAAAGTGGGACTAACGATGAATTTATAAGAACTTCGATAAAACTTAAATCCAAATTCACAAAATTAATATTATTTCAAAAAAAATCTTTAATTTTAAGTCTATAGGAAGTCTTTCCGGAAGGCACTCCCTTTGACAACTCACCCAAGTGTTGCGTTGCCTTTCCCATCAATGCAATCCAATCTGATCCTTATTTAGAGGGAAAAAAACATGTTAATTAAGATTCTGTTTAACTTCGTGACAAGAAGAAAAAATTTCTTCCGGGATCGACACCCAAACCCTTAATTTTTTTTAAATTAAGACAAACTCTATATAGGCCTATTTAAAGTTTTTAATTTTTTTTATATATTTAAGGACAACTTTTTTGCTGGATAAGGTTCTTATTTACATTAATTCAATGGTCTTCGATGTAACTTGATGTCTTTTTGACAAAAGAGATCTGTTAGAGAACCAACTTATAGCCCATATTTCTATTTAATTAAGTTTTATATTAACTTCAGACAACTTGAATTCTAGTGATGAAATTTGCTCACTAATGGTCGAATGGATAAAATCGCTATACGTTAGTTTGCATATAACAAAGAGGAAACTTCAGTTTTCTTCGCCTGTCTAGTACCTAAATAGAGAGGGTTTTCTATGATAGACCCATCCGTTGGCGGTCGCACAAGGCTTATATGATCAATCAAAACCACAAATAAATTGTAATTTCTGACAAATAATTATTTAATACCTTTCTGAATGTTTCTAAATTCACCGAATTTGTCTTCAATTTTCATAAATATTTATTTATCCAATCACCTATAGGCCTATAAGCTCTGAATCCTGTTCATTTACGTCTCCAAAAAAAAGAAAAATTATAAATACAAGTTAAAATATAAAGGTTTTACCTTACACAAATCCTATTTTAAGTGCTAATGGCATTTTTAGCACTTTATTTATTCTACATTTAACAGAGACATCCAGGAAAAATATTTCTATCGCCTTGAATGTCAATATCATTATTTACAGTTTAGGAAACTCGATTTCGGAATTCGAGGAAATATTAACACGAAGCATTGACCCTAAAATAACGAAAAATTCAATAATCCTCAATGCTCCTTTCCCGTTAAATGAAATTTTCTGGGCTCTTTTCTGATCTATCGATTAGCAAATTATTTTTTTTATAACTAGATATAATTTATATAATAAAAACTGTGTTTTATTGTAGAGATGTTCGACGGTCTCGGCAGACAGTTTGATAAATGTTTCCTCATCACTTACTCCATGCTCAGCTCAGCAGTTAACAATACATGGATTCCAATAGTGAATAATATATGATTTACAGTACTTGAACTCGGATATAATAAAATATACAATAGCAAAATTATGTGAATGATATTTTATCAAAAATATTAATGCTCTGTCGGTCACGGTGTATAAAACATCTCGTCGATCAGACACGCTACTTTATGTGATAAGTAATTATTAACTAAACCGATCTTATGATAGACTCAATTCCACGCTTATGTATAGTTACAACATAGATTTCTTTAAACTATAAATATATGTAATAGCCTAAAATGATGCAATAATAAAGATATTGTTGCAAAACATAGAAATATTTATTACATAATTTAATTTAATATCGTATTTAATTGCATTCGATTACTCTTAACGAAATTTCTAACATTATAGGCTACGTACTGTACTGTANTTACGGAATGATAATCCACACTCTAGGGCAGGCAACAATCCTGCCTCTATCGAATTCTGACACTTGCTGGTAAGCATTTCTTCTTCTTATTCAAGGCATAACACAATATTCTGATGAAACCCCGACCTTACAAAGCGATTTCCGAATGAGAAATCCACTGCACAACTTTTCTTTTATGCAGTGCTTCAGATGTCGTTGTCCCTCCTGCTTTGTCTAAATACGCTGAAATACTAATCATTTGTATATTCCAACCTCTTCTTCCTTTCATATGATTTTGACGTTCGTACGATCATGCCTTCCTGGTGTTGCAATTTTAATGGCCAGCAGTGTATTACCAAAGGTATTTATCACCCCGCGAATCGTATGTGAACTCTCTCTCTCCGTGACAACACTTTATCTCTTTGATTTTTAAATAAACCCTTGTTAATTGTTAAGTGTATCTGAGTCACTTCCAATGTTGTCTCTCGAACTGACATTATGAATTTGTCTGACCACGTACGGGACCGCTCGCGCTATGGCGTGACATAATTGCCATCTCGGTTTCCGTGTTCCAAGAAACGCGGTGGTGTCAATCCTGACAGGGTACCAAAGAGGTGCCGACCCAAAAGATCACAATAAGTAGTTAATATTTAATATCTTCAAAAATTCTTTGTTCAATTTAAAATTGGCCAATAAAAAAAAATTGTGTAGCGATTGATTATGTAAGTGGTGTAAGTCCAATTTGCATAGAGATAGGTGGCGGGATCATATGATTACATTTGTTTTATTTCATGTGTCAAAGATAACCTTACTTATTTTCTTCCAAAAATGGATAATTTCATATTAACATTAGATAGTGATACAGGTAAGAAGAAATTAATAAGAAATCAATATTATTTTATAACAATTGAAAATATTTATTTTATTTAATTATAAATAAATTCACACAAAAATAAAACCCATAAATATAAACAAAAGAAGAATCTTAGAATTGGAGGATGAAGACAATTCCACTAAGAAAAACACATATTTAATGAAACTTAAAAAGAGAAGAAGAATTATAGAGGTAGAATCTTCATCACATGAAGATCTTGTTAGTCAAACCTTTGATTCTGCAAAAGAAAATAATGTAAAATATATGCAACGAATAAGCAAACGTAAGCGGAATGCCGGACAAGAGTATTATACCAAAAAAGATAAATTTATTCCAGCAAAAAAATTTGAATATAAAAATTGTAACTGCTCCAAGAAATGTATAGAACATGTTAATGAAGCAGAACGTAAAACAATTTTTGATCACTTCTGGAATATAGGTGATTTTAATAAGCAAAATGTATTTCTGTATTGTAATGTTCATCGTGAAACTGAAAAGAGAAGAAAGCCAAGAAATTATCTGGGCAGTTTGAGGAGTTATGCTTATAAATTTTACTTGGTCACTTCTCGTGGGAACATTTTAGTATGCAAGAAGTTTTTCATTAATACTTTTAATATATGTACTGGACGAATTGATCGTGTCTTAAAAGCACATGGTATTTCAAAAGACAAGCATGGACAAATGGATGGCTCTTGCAGAACTAGTGAACTAGCGACAAATACAGCGATAAAACACACAAAAAGTTTTCCAGCATTTAAAAGTCATTATACTCGATCCAAAAATCCAAAACGAATGTTTTTGCATCCAGAATTAAACATAAGAAAAATGCTTAATTTGTACTTAGAAAAATGTAAGGAAAATAACTTAAGTTCAGTTAATGAATGAACATACAGGAAAATGTTTAAATGAGATTTCAACTTACATTTCCATCTGCCATGTAAAGATACCTATGCAAGATGCGATTTCCTCAACATGAAAATTCAGACAACAAATAATGAAGAAAAAAAAGTGACTCTTGTACAAAGCCATGATGTTCACTTGAAAAATGCTGAATTGGCAAGAAAAGCATTGCAAGAAGATAAAATTCTGGCATCAAAACATCTCAATAAATACTTTGCCTTTTCTTTTGATTTACAAAAAGCCTTACCCTATCCAAAATTATCTGTTTCAATAGCATATTATAAGCGAAATATGTATCTTTTAAATGAGGGATTTCATAATTTCCACAACAATAAAGTTAATATGTATGTGTGAGACGAAACTACTGCTTCCAGGAGTCACAAGAAATAGCTTCTTGCTGTCTGAGACATTTACAAAATGTAACAACTCAAAGTCATGTTATTGCATACAGTGATATGTGTATTGGGCAAAATCAAAATTTACAAATGGCATTGTTGTGGTTGAGAGTTGTCCAGTCTTTGGAAAATAACATCGAAGTAATTGATCATAAATTTTTACTCTCCAGGCATTCATTTCTTCCAAACAATCCAGATTTTGATATTATAGAAATGGCATTATGAAAAAAGAATTTCTTGTACACACTACAGGATTATTATGATGTTATAAAACAATGTAGAAAAAACAATGAATTTATTTTACATGAAATGAAACGAGAGAATTTCGTTTCAACAAAAAATTTACAAAACACAATTCAAAAACGGGTAAGAAAAAATACTAATGGAGAAAAGGTAAACTGGCTGAAAATATGTTGGATGAAGTTTTGCAAAAGTGCACCATGTACTATTTTATATAAAACATTGATGGAGGACACAGAATTTAAGACATTACATTTATCACCTACATGCCAGGGAAGACTGTCAAAATTTGAGAGAATCACCCTGATGCCTTTGTATAATGATGCCAGACCTATTATATATGAAAAATATAAGGATATGGAGCAGTTATTACATTATATACCTTCTGTGCATTATGAATATTTCAAAACACTGCCACATAAAGAGCATAAATAAATAATAGCAATATCTTATGTTAAGTTTAACAATATATAAATATAATTAACGTTCAAAATAAAAAATACTACTACTATTTTATTTCTTGTTATTATTAGAAAGAATAAATTAGTTTCATTAAATTCACATACAGAATTTTATTTAAGTGATATTTAATTTGTCATAATTGAAATTAAATGATTTTTACAATTGACTAATTATGAAAGTGGTATAAGTCCATTTATGGCCCAGAAAGAATAAATTAGTTTCATTAAATTCACATAGAAGTCTTTATGCAAGCAACTTGCATATTTCTACATTGTCAAACTTAGTACACTTTATGTATATTTTTGAATCAACTAAAACGCAAATATTTAAATTTCTCAAAAGAAGAAAAAAATGGACTTACACCACTTTCAAAATAAACAGTCCATATAGTCTCATCTTTTTTAAAGCAATTAATCTAAATGATTTTTTTTATTTTTTAATGAATTTGAAATAGAATGTTTTGTAAAAATCATGTTTGTTTGTTTTTTTCTTTGAAATATTCAATATTGACAGTGTATAAAATTTAAAACAATAAACCAATATTTTTTCATAAAATTCATGCATTATTTGCATAAAGACGATACAATCCAGGACCATTTTCAATTGAAAAATAAGTAGACATATTTTAAAGTTTTTTCTTTAATTCTTTTCCACCATCCAACACAGAATTAACAGTAAGTTGGCTTTGAAGTTATAATAAATTCTTCATAAAACACCATAAATAGATTATTGAAAAAATTAAAACAGTTAAAATTGATCAAACAATGATCTTTTATTTTAGAATCTGGCACTTTTTACATTAAAACAACGATAAAAATTTTTGGCAAAAAAGGATTAAAGAAAAAGACTTTAAAATATGCATACATATTTTTCAATTGAAAATGGTCCTAGGTTGTATTGTCTTTATGCAAATAATGCACAATTTTTATGCAAAAATTGTTTGTGAATACCCAAAGCACCACCAGAGGGCTTGAAGCAGTAGTTAAATATGGCTACAGGACACAATAGTTATTGTAAGAAAAATTTTTATCATTGTTTTAATGTAAAAAATGCCGGATCCTAAAATAAAAGATTTGCATTTGATCAATTTCAACTTTGTTTTAATTTTCTCAGTAATCTATTTATGGTGTTTTATGAAGAATTTATTATATATTTAAAGCCAACTTACTGTTACTTCTGTGTTGGATGGTGAAAAATAATTAAAGAAAAAGACTTTAAAATATGTCTACTTATTTTTCAAACCAATATTTCTTTCTACTTTTACTATCATTTATTGCATAACTAACTTGTTTTATTAGCCACTGAAACTGAATCACCATACATACAGTGAAACCTGCTAATGTGACATTTGTGTAAGATGACCAGTTTGAGCTATCTCTTCACTAGTCACATTAACAGGTTTCAAAGTATATATATATGTATATGTATATATATATCCATTATTATGTTTTTCAGTATGTAAATTGTTGTGCTTGCTTAACATATTTACAACTTTTATTTTCTTATGCTTATAACTTTAGGAGTCTTGATTTTATTTGTTTCTTTATTTTAGATTTCTTCATTGACAAGTTCTTTTTTATGGCCTATTTTACATTGTTATTAAGATAATCTTTTACAGGTATTACAAATTTAAGCAAACAGGTAACTTCAGTACAAAAAGTTTAGCAGAAATTATTCACAATTTTATTAATAGTATGATTGCATAAATAATCCAAAAAGTAAAAAAATATTTTTGCTTTTATTATTCAAAACCAAGTTAAGTTCATTATAAAGATCAAACAGTTAAATCAAAAGTGTTTAAATTTAAATTACTTAACTTGTGCAAGGAATTAAAAGTACTTAAATTTAAAATTATAAACAAATTAGTAAATATATAATAGTAATAATAATAAACATTTATGTAATAGACATCTCCATTCCAAACACTCATAACGAAAAATACTCACTATAAATAAAACTCAGAAACCTTATTGTGCTTTGGATTTACTTGCAAAAATCATAACATTACTAACATTTTTGTTCCACAGCTAGGAACTTCCTCAGGTAGAATTCCCTAAGAAATTGAATCTAATCAAGATTGTAATAAGTTTTATATACCATGTACAGTACATCATCAAAACTATCAATCCAAATCACAATATACTAGTTTTTATAACAATATTGAAGGAATTGATGATTTAAATTTTATTTTATTAAAAATAACAAATCNCAAAGAAAAAATATTTTAAAGTAAATTTTGATATTATTTTCTTATATAAAGAAAATAGTATTAAAATTTATTTAAGAAACAGTTTTAATTTTATATAATTTTTATTATATCATTATTAAAACAAATTTGAAAAAGAGTGACATTTATATAAAATTTTACCATCTCTCAATTCCCTGTCAAATTTTACATTAATCATATGTGGACTTTTTAACTTTTCTATCACATCTTAGTCTCCCTCCAGCTGTACGTATTGTTCTATTGATCACAAATGAAGCATATTTTATCAATAAAATATGCTATTATTTTAATTTTTCTCAAAATAATTTTTTTTTTCCTACTCAGAATAGCTTTTTTTTTTTTTTTTGACCTGGCTATCAGTTACAATTGTCTCTTGAACACCTACCCAATTAATGGATTCTCATTGGACCATACATCAATTTTCTTGAAAGTTTCTAGCTGCATAAAAATTTCCAAATTAAAACTGTTTGGCAAAATACTTTTATGAATGCAATTTAATTAAATTCTTACATTCTCTTCTCCAGATTTTTCTAATATCTGATCACTCCCACCACATTAGTTCAGATATGAGAGAGTCTGCTTTATATAAATTACCTAAATATTGTACTTTTATAATTATTTAACATTATAATCTTACTGACTGATTGACTATTGATGTTATTGACCCATTAAATGATACAAGATATTTGAGCAGACTTCTTACAGAAAAATGAAATGATACAGTTAAAAAAGGACATTGAGTATATTATTAACAAAATCTAAAATCTCCAAAAATCTTATATAAAATTTTACCATCTTTCAATTCCCTGTCAATATTTTAGGCACTATGATATGTTAAAAACTATATATTTTAGCCTTCAATGCTTCTTAGGATGTTGTGATTATTTACAGTTATCTGATCATACATATGACACTAGTATTGTTCATATCATTTCTTAGTAATAAATTAATTGATTTTAATAAACAAGATCAACTAATTGCTAAACCTTTTTAAGAATTGCAGATTTATTTATAATTAAACAATTTTTGAGACATTTTATCTTCAGATCACTATTAGAATATCCTATTTTAAATAAAATCATCACATTTTGAGTAAAAAAAACAAAAAAAAAAACAATCTTTAAATTAATTAAAGTGACATATCAAGCATGTATTAAACCATTTATTGTGAGTTACTGTAATGGACACTTGGTACATGTGCTTGGTTGAGTGGCTAGTGGTACAAAGCTGTGGGATTATGACTGAATGCCCCTAAGGCGGAAGTCCCCTAGCTGCGGCAACGGTAGTTGTTGTGATAGTAATCCTGCACAGTATGAGAGGAATTGCAAGTTGAAATACTTTGTTTATTGGTCATTTGTTGCTAAGACATTGGCAAGTGCGAAGCAAGAAGAACGAATGGAAACCCCAGAATAGATTTGAACCTTGGGGTACAGACTCTCAGGTGTCGACCACCTTGAATTTGTGCCCGGCTAAGATTCCCATTAGCCATAACAATTACATAGTAGAATATTTTTTTTTATTATAACGTAAAATATTCTGTTGCATTATAGAATTTATATTATTTAAGTCAAAATTATTTTAGTTTATCTAAAAATAATATACTTAAGTGTTGGTACACATTAATTAAAGTATAACAACATAATAATAATTAATTGATTAATTAAATTCCATGACAACAATAAAATATAAAAAAGTTTCAAAAAAATTGGATGAAACAATAAATGTTTTCACATTTTGTCTTTTTTAACATTTTCAGACTAGAGTCAAGCTCCACAGGGTTTTCTTTTCTCACTGATTTTCCCAAGCCTATTTCCTTGGCTGTGGTTTTGCTAGCTAGTAGATAGGGACAATTGACTCTAATCTCAGGTGTTAAAAAAGACAAAATGTGAACACATTTATTGTTTCTTCCAACTTTATGAATACTTTTTTTATATTTCATTGTTGTCCTGGCCATTTATTTTATTTATTTATTAATATTTTTTTATGATTGTGCTGTCATCATGGAATTTTTAAACAATTTTGTATAAAAAGGCAGATGACTATCTCAAATAAAAGGTCAACTCAGCCATAAAGATTGTTGTGTTTCTGAGATGAATATATTTTATACTAGCTGTTACCCGCGACTTCATCCGTGGGGATTTTGCAAGCAAACCCCATTTATATTCAGTATTTCAACAACCTTGGTAATTGCTATATAACACCTACCGCTGAGAATGATGAGAATTGCCGAGAATCAAACGAACTATTTTCAATTTGATCAATTTTCTGGAACGTTTACAATCATTCTATAATTGAACTAATATGCAATAACAAATTTGAATTTAAAATGGTTCAAACATTTGGTTAAAAAATAGAAATATATGAAAATATTTATAACAATGTCTGAAATGTTATCAATTTAATACAGTTAAGTACTCAATGAAGACTAAACGTAGTTGAAAACAAAATATCAAAATTTCGATAAATATCTGTCCATATTTCCCCATATTTATCGAAAGCCTAGCTATCTACCTATTATTATACCAAAGAATTCCTTTGATCCTCAGAATTTTAAGAATGCAGCCTTTCGATCATGGATAAAGCGGGCCTATACCCACTGTACGAGTATGGTTGACACACAGAGAATTAAATTATATACGTACAATAGCTGTACAACAGGGATATCATATAAGTGAAATTAATGCTCTTATTGATAAATTTTGTAATCAAACAAATAAGCAACCTACAACTAAGAACCAAGGACGAAGAGTAGTTCTCAACTATATACCTTTCCTACAATCAATGATTAAAAAAGTATCTCACAAGAATAATTTAAGAGTTATTTATCGTCGTAATCCGACGATTTATAGAATTTTACGAAATGATAAGAAGAAAGGAAACCGTAACAATAGTACAGGAGTTTATTCTATTCCTTTAAGTGACTGCCGTTTTAATTCAGATCTCGTTTACATTGGTGCCACTATGAGACTTTTAAAACACAGGATTAAAGAACATAAGTATTCTATTACTAAAAACGTGGACAGCACCATCCTTGCAGCCTTCGCTAAACATCAAGATATTAATGTACATTGGGACAAAGCATCCGTAATTAGGACAGCCACCAACAAATAAGTCCTTAAACATATTGAAAAACTTGAAATTTACAATGCGCATATTAACAAAGGATGCATCAACCATAGAGACGCAGAAAGTCTATCCTGTGCACGAAAATCTTTTTACCATGACAATTAATTTTTTTTTTTTTTAAATTCTTTACCACGATTAATTTCTTAATATTTTATTTGTAATTTAATTTTGTTTTTTACGTTTCATTTTGTTGTAATTAATTTCAATTTTTTAAACTGTTGTATTGCTTGCGTTCAATTTTATGTTCGTTTTCGTTTTAAAGTGGCTTAACTGAGGAAGACTATTAAATATAGTCGAAAACGTTTTTATTTTATTAAATACTTCGTTGCTGGAAATACTAAGATGTTTGATTATTTTAAGTGCAGATACTTTGTTTTAAATCAACATAATAAATCCAAAGTTATTTATAAAATGCAATTTTAATCACTTGAAATAAAGCTAATTGTCTTCAAACTCCAATAGCTTAGAATAAATAGAATACTTTCTAAAAACTAAAAATATTAATAAAATAAAAATACAATTTATAATGTATTTATTTTTATTAATAACAATGTTGTTTTAAATTTATTTTTTTCTAATTGAACTTGCAAAAAATTACTCAAATTTATTCAAACATTCTGATTAAATGATATATAAAATTTATTCTTTATACATTTACAAAGATTTATATAAAATATTCTTACTACAGTATTAATGCTATTTTACTTCAAAAACTGACAATAATTTATCTTTTTATTAATATTTTAAATTTTATTTTAAAAATCATAATTTACAGATGAAAGCTCTGACTAGAAAATTCCTTCAATAGTAAATCATTGATATATCAGTACTATTGGTTAAAAGAGCTTGCATTTAATTTAAAATTTTGTATATTTTTATAAGCTATGGAAGATTATTTTAATCAACTAATAAAGGAATTTGATGGAAAATTTGCCATGTGTCTTTAGAATAAAAACACAATACTAGTGTTTATTACGCCACAAATATAAAACAGGACACGGTTTCAAAAAGAAAATCAATTATTTTAATCAAATTATTAGTAAAATAAATTTGAAAAACCATTATTTTATTTTTATTTTAGAAGTCCCAGTTTATCTTTAGAAATACAATAAAACATTAAAAGATGAAGAAAAAAACAATTGAAAGTTTTACACTAAAAATTTGATGATGATCTGAAATGCTAAATTGTTAAATTTATTTATTTTTCTGAAGATGGATTATATTTATTAAAACCAACTTTTGGGCTGCAATTTTCAGATTGCAGACCTATACATTCTCACTGTCATCTATCCATCTGTCCTTCATTAAACTTGAGAATAGAGTTATATGAAAATTGAAACCAGATATGGAAAGTTTAAAGACTGGATGCCTTGATTAACTATATACAAACTTCCAGTCTGGACCAGGAGTCATATAACTTTTTAAAAGATGATTGTCACACTGCCAGGCTGCAAATTTTAATGTCACAATACTGTACATTTGATTTTTCACCTTAAATGTTTCTATCAATCGGAATATATATGATATGAAATGAGAGGAAAGTGTATGATTTAAATTTAGATTTACTTATACATATCTGAGAAAGTTTTTTCTGCACTTAATTTGTGCACTTTTGAAACAATGACTTTGTGAAATTTGATATAGTATCATTAATACTGTGTCAAATTTCAGAAAGTCATTGTATGTGTAATTTTTAGGTGAGTTGGAAAACCTATAATATTTAATTTAACTGTTATTTAAAGATTTATGAATAAAAGTTGTAAAATGTTATGTATATAAATATCACACTTATTATACACATTTATTAAAAAAATATTTTAAAAAATTCTTTTTATTGCATTACTAATAAAACCTCTTTAGGATCTTTATTGTATTTTTTTTATTGCATTATTTATTAAAATTATTTTATGTAAAATAATAATTTCTATTAAACAATCATTTTTAAAAAAATTTAAATTTTAAAATTATCATAGTGCAGTTTTTACAATGTATAAAGGAGATTTTATTGTTTTTATTTTACATATAGCTTTTATTTTTGTTTTTTAAAAAGATATCTTTGTTTCTCATGAGTCCTATATACTATTTTTATATCTATTATCAAATAATATAAAAATGATTTTGAACAAATTTGATAAATAATACTTTTAATTTTTTTAGGTGTTTTAAAAGTATTTATAGGATTGGCATTGTTATATGGAACATTTATAGTGATGACATACTTTTCATATGGTAATATTTAGTTAATTTTTTAAAATTATAAATAAAAAATTATGACAAACTTTATGCATACATTTATCATATATTAATTTGTACAAGAAAATGTTATATTAAATAAAAGCAAATCTATTAATTTTTAATAATAAAATGATAAAGATGGATTCATTATCAGGCTAAAACTAATTAAATACACAGATATTACATACTATGGATTGAAGGTAAATGATTATATAAGTGAAGATATTAAGTGAAGATATAAGTCATGATTTTCTATTCAATTTAATAATTAGAATTAAATTAATTAATTTAGAATATTCTGAATGAAAAGACAATCTATGTAAGAAGCAGGAGTTGTGGGTTTATATCCTGCTCTAGATCAATCTTTTCTGTTGGAATCATCTAAATCATTTAACTTAATTTTAATTATTATATTTAATAAAAGGTGATGACTTAATCCCCTATCTTTAGTCCAAATTACATAATGGGTGTGTGTTTAATTAGCCAATTTATAACCTAATAATGAATCAGCTTTATTATTTGATTGTTATTCAGGCTTATTTTTACATATAATTACAGAAAAATCTCGTTTTAATGGATCACTCAGGCTGCTGAAAATTATCTATTGTTCCAAGAATTCATTATATTATGAACAACAAATTTTCCACATACCCAGGAAAATATCCAATATTCCAAAAGAATTTCCATTTTTTAACTCCTACATATAAGAAATACCAGAACTTGAAATTACTCAGTCTCTTTAAATCTCTATTCTCTATTCTGTAGAAACATCTATGTTAGAAGATTGTATATTATGATATACTTGTGTATGACAAAGTTGACAGAAACTGTATATACTGTAATCACAAATACAGGCAAATTACATGTTCCATAGCACTCCATTTCACTTCATGATTTCTTAAAAAAGCATATCCATCTTGGTTTGTTTTGATGCCACTTTTCTGTTTATTGAATACAACAACTGCTTGATATTAGCAATGTCATATATAGCCTGTTCATTTATGCAAAAACTTGTGAGAAGGTCTTCATGACTTGTAAAGATTCAATAGCATCTAAATTTCAGCACTACACTTGGACTAGCATCAGAATGTTTACTCAATGGATTTTCCTTAATTGTATCAGCCTTCTAACTCTGTAAAATTTTTCATTTGTACATATTCCAGATGTAACAAGTACATCATCAAATGCTACAGATTTTCAGAAATACTCAAATATTAACTAAGAATTGAAAAAACACAAAGCTTACAGTAGATGGGGCTAGAAAAAAACCCTGTTATTCAAGTAACAGATTTGCTAAAAGGAGTAAAATTACATTGATTTGTTGGGACCTGGCAAAAAATTGTTATTCCAAGAAATCCGTTGTTCTGCAATCCATTAAAACAAGATTCTATTATATCTATTAGTTTTTATTAATCATGTTCATATTCATATATTGTTCTATTTTAAAATTTAAATGGTTATTTTTCAATACAAATTTTTTGAATACATAGAAGTATAGGGTATGTCAGAAACATCTGACAGTTTTTAAAATAAAACAACACTTCAGGGGAAATGGTAAATATTTATTGCTTTGCATACATACAATTTTTTCTAGCAGAGAATGAATATGTATCATTGTTATATCTTAAAAATAACATCTTGTAAATGACCACCATGTCCTGCTAATTAAAATTTAAAAACTGTCAGGTGTTCTGGTGCATCCTATAATTGAATCTAACTATATTTATTATTTTTATTCATTGAGATATGCAATTTAATTAGAAGTATGAAAATTAAACATAAATAGATTTCATTCCAATAAATTAAATATACAGTCAAACCTCAGTTTACAAATTTAATTTGTTCCTAAAAGTTTTTTGGGAACTGAATTGTTCTTAAACAGAAACAAATTTTTCCATAAGAAACAATGTAAAATGGATTAATCTGTTTCTGCTCCCAAAACAAAGTTTTTTTTTTACCATATATATATATATATATATATATGGTAAAAAAAAAACTTTGTTTTGGGAGCAGAAACAGATTAATCCATTTTACATTGTTTCTTATGGAAAAATTTGTTTCTGTTTAAGAACAATTCAGTTCCCAAAAAACTTTTAGGAACAAATTAAATTTGTAAACTGAGGTTTGACTGTATATTTAATTTATTGGAATGAAATCTATTTATGTTTAATTTTCATACTTCTAATTAAATTGCATATCTCAATGAATAAAAATAATAAATATAGTTAGATTCAATTATAGGATGCACCAGAACACCTGACAGTTTTTAAATTTTAATTAGCAGGACATAGTGGTCATTTACAAGATGTTATTTTTAAGATATAACAATGATACATATTCATTCTCTGCTAGAAAAAATTGTATGTATGCAAAGCAATAAATATTTACCATTTCCCCTGAANAGTATTAATAAATATATTAAACATTAATATTATAATATATAATATATATAAATAAATTTTTGTTATTTAATTTGAGTTAGGAATCTTTAAATATGAATTATTGGATGTCATTTATATTATGCAAAAGTTAATTAACGTGATTTTTATTAATTAATTTGATTTAAATCGAATTGTGATGCATACCAAACTGGAAGTAGTGGAACTGGAACTGCATGCTCATTGAAATTTAATTTGAATGTCATTGATGGTTCATGTTGTGATGTCTAACAATGCAAGGCAAATCTCAGTGCCACTACTGAATTGAGTAGTCCTGTCATTGATTGGTCGGGCTGTCAACTTTTTTAATACAGGAAGTATAGGAAGTTGACCATTGGTGGTCAACTTCCTATACTTCTGAGTACAGTGGTGCATCGTATAACGTATGCCTCGAATAACGGATGCTGCAAACAATGGACTTTCTGTTTGGCCATTACGTGACTCGAGCAACGGACTGGCTTCGAACAACAGACTTTCCGTTCGGCAGTTACATGTGGCAAACAACAATTTTTCTGCAAACAAGAGCGAATGATGTTTCCACTCTTTTGCTGTTGCCAATGACAATCTGCTATTTTTATAATATATTAGTATTATTAAAATATATTATTAGTATATCTGAAGTATTATTAAAATATATTATTAGTATATCTGAAGTACAGAGCTCCTGTTGAGATTCAGCTTGCTCCCTTGTTTATTACATACATCACCTCAGTGCAGGGTATTTGCATTTGTTCAAGTGGTTGTGAAAATCATGGCTTCTAAATAAACAGAAAGGTGGTTTGAATTGAAACAAAGCAAGAAATCATCAGAAGGAATGAAAGTTGACAAAAAGTTTCTTGTCAAATGGGGAGAAGTTCAGGAGTTTACCAACACTCATTATCCAAACAGTGCTGAGGCCAACAGGATCAATGATCTCTACAATGACACCCTTGCCCGTCATTTCCAACAGGTGTTGAAGAAGAGAGAGAAACAGACCACCCTGGACATGTTTTTCAAGAAGCAAGCTGCCAAAAAACAAAGGATGAAACAAGAGGAGATAAACCTGCAAGCTCTGGCAGCCTCTCCTGAATCTGACTCCAATTAAAAACAATAAAAAGAGACCCGCTGCAATATGTAAAAAGTCTGTATCTGTATGAAAGTGTAAAGAAAGTGTTCCTCCACCTCCTCCTCACAACATCTGACTACCCGGCATAATTGGTGACTGCTCCATTTTCATTTTTTTTATAGTACAGTACGGTTATTTTATGCCGTGGAACGAATTATATGTTTTAACATGTATTTCTATGGGAAAATGCGTTTCATATAATGGACTTTTCACTTAACGGACGTGCACTTGGAACAGATTAAGTATGTTATCCGAGGCACCACTGTAACTTGTTCGGAAACCAAGTTATCATACATAAAGTGACGCAAATGTGACTTAAAATTTTGTTCGTAAACAGAGGCATTCATAACCTAAGGTTTGAATGTATTTTAGTTGAATAATTAATTTTTAATTATTTAAGCACAAACAATTGGATTAAAATGTATTTGAATATTCTGTACATTATATTATTTGCATTCAAAATTTTATTTAAAAACTAATATGTATAAAGTGATTACAATATTAAAGATTGTCTCTTTCTTATATATTAAGATATATTGGCATACTAGATTATAATACATTTTTATTTTACAATTGTTTTCATCAAAGAATTGTGTAAAGCTACATAAAAATATAAACACAACATATTTCCTCACTTTCCACACAATTTATTCATGAAACTAATATTTTTGCTAAATTTATAGTCATCATTGGATTTTACATTTAAATAACTAATGGAAAAACTTTTTGTTTATTAATTAATCAAATGTAAATTCTGAAGTTAGTTATAGGTTTAGCTGAATATATCAATGTCTTAAATAAAGTATAGTGGTGAAAATTATTTCTGTTTTTAAATTGACAAGTTAAAATCTGGGAATTAAAATAATTAATTTTTGATTTGATAAAAGAAGTGTTTAATTTATCTTTCAGTTTTTTTAGGGGGTGGAGCAGGTAGATATCATTTAGCTTCAGGACTTTTCCTGTCTTTTGTAAAAATAAATAAGTTATAATAGTAATAATGTGATTAATATTATGTGATTAAAAATTATTTACATTTATCTGACTTTTGCTAGCCAAAAATCTAAGTACAATCTAATATTTTTCAATTATAAAGAGGAATATGAAAAATTCTTCAAAAAATTAAAAGAACCATCAGACGAAAAGAATTACAAAAAATTATGAATTATCAAAAATTCAAATTATCTGTTTTTTTGAAAATTAATTCTACAAGCTACTAATGTTTAGTTGTATTCCTTATTCTTTGGCACTATCATTTTCTTATTAGTTTTTTTTCCCACTTTTTTAATCTCTTTAATCTTGTAATCTAAAGATAATCTGTATGTGTGATGTTTAGACATTATAAAAACATAACTAAATTGCTCTATTATCACTAAACCTAAGAATCATGTGACAATATCACTTATATCCTGCAACTTTACAGAACATACAGTATGCATTTTGGGAATCCTTGA